ACTACTGTTTTGGACATCTGATATTGATCTCCTTTGGTAGCCATGGTAAATGGGGCTATGGTAGGCAGGACCATAAGAGGGTATATAAGAAGGCTACGTGCAAGGATATGAGGCAGCCATGCTTGCTCTGAGCTTTATAAGCGTGACACTACAAAAAAAAGGTTGGTATGCATGTTAATTAGCCCCAATTCGTGAAAAGGTGATATTACAGATAATTTACTGGTCTTCAGAATGCAAAATGTATGATCATACAATAAATATGCACAATCCTACATATATACTCCCTCCGTGCAGTATACATGGCGGCCACAAAATATAAAAATTCTCCCGGCTAACGACGAACTCCACCCTATTTTTGCATTTAGTTTCTGAGACGCAAGTGCAACTCAAAGTCGTTTCGAGGGAGTAGGATCATCATGAAATTAAGGCATGCGAAAATGTTTTTTTTCTTCATAGTGAGATTGATGATGGTGCCACTTCTGTTCATCCCATTGTCCTCCTTGTTTTTTTACTCTATCGCAACACAATGTCCTACAATGAAGATAAGTTAGGGTTTCTGGCACAACCTATAAACCCGGATTCAATAGATGGGATTGATGGAGAAGTGCATGACTAGATTGCGGCCATAGTGGACATAGCGGAGAGCGATGCCTTTGTTGTGGTGAACGTTGTGATCATCATTGTCAGGGAACACGACACTTGGTGGAGGCAACAATCACCATCAAACTTGGTGGAGGCAACAATCACCAACAAAGAAAATATAATGGCTGAGTTTATCAGCAAGGAGGGAAACGACACACATGACTACATGAGCGTCACTATCACCGGCGCCAATACCATCGGGAAAAACTTTCGCTTGGGATATGGTTCCCACCAGCCAGGTACATCACCCACGACTGGCTGAGGCAAGATGCAAACGATGCCTAGAGTAGGCAGGGTGCCCGTGAAGAACACACCCGCCCGACGGACGCCCCCGAGTGATCCACCTCACCACCCAAGTGGCCGAGGAGACACACGAGCAGCCGCCGAAATGGTGTCGTTGTGCCCACCATCTGGAGCCACCGCTTCGACGACCAAGAGGATCCACCCTCATCCACCACCCACGTGGCAGTAAATTGCAAGCACACAACCATCTGCCCCCTACTGCCACACTAGTGCTAATCCGCCACCCACTCCACCCCAAAGCTTGCCCCTTGCACCCGCACGAAAAAGAACCCTAGATCTGGGTTACTGTGCGCCTAG